AGTACCGTCAGTTTAAAAAACTAAAACAACTGTACTTTAAAATGGTGTAAAATGAGGGTTTTTATTAATTAGTGACCCAAATATAACAAATATTTGTGTTTTTAAATAAATTTTCGCTTGTCTTTTTTTTAATAAATGAATTTATCTATTTCTAAGTAAAAATTGAAAATGTCTGTATAAGTAATTTTTTTAAATATTCTTTTTCATGATAAAGTTTTAATACTTATTATTATAATCCAAACATGTTAATCCTGAAATATACTTGTATATTGGGCCACAAGTATAGGCCTATATAATATATACTTGTGGCCCAAAACTCCAAGACTTCTTCCAATGTGGCCCAGAGAAACAAAAAGGTTGGACACCCCTGATCTACAGGTTGATATACAGGAATTGCAACAGTTGGGTGAGTATTTTGAACCATTAAAAGTTTTAAAATTTTCTATAGCTTGCTATAAAGTTTTCCTGGATCATAACTCAATTGAATCTATATAGATATTCTTTATTTCTTCGCCCGAGTAATCACCATAGCGTTACGAAAAAACGGGCCTTCTTCAAAAATGTATGAGATAATACATATACATTGTTATCTATGATCTATGAAAATTTTATTAATTACTTTTGCAGCAAAAGTTTTTTTATAACATTACTTTTATAGTGTTCAAAATGACTTGCAACAATTTGGGATCACTGGAGTCATGCAAGCAGCCAAAGACAGATTTGATATAGCTATCACAGACTTTTAGCAAATCTTCTGGACCCAATATACCAGAGTTCAAAGCTCACAGACAGTATGAACAAGGCCGGATTTACCCACTTTGGGGCCCTAGACACTTTCTTTTTACTGGGCCCCTCCCTCTCCCACAAGAAATAGAGCACACAAATAATATAAAACAATAAATAAAACAAAACTAAACAATGTGAAAAACTAAAACAAATCTTAATTTTTTATTAATAAGAAATATTTCATCGCTATAAAAAAAATCTAAATTATCTGACAAATCTTATTTACAAATGTTTTCAAAATAAACAGTTTGACCGGGATCTTCTAAAAACTGGGCCGTATATATTTGTCTCATTTGTCTATGCGATGATCCTGCCCTGAGTGTGAAGGATGCTGCACTAACTCTGTGCCACGCTTACTACTGCTAGTATGTTTTAAAATACTTACGTATTTTAAAACATACTAGCAGTAGTAAGCGTATGCAAGCGTATGTAAGCGAAGGCATAGTGTATGCTAGTCTGTTTTAAAATACTTACGTATTTTAAAACAGACTAGCATACACTATGCCTTCAGTTTTAAAATACTTGGCAAAATCTATCCCATTTCTGCAACACATGTTTGCAGAGTCTGTGTTAACTAATATGACTGCTCCTACATGGTGGCAGTCATTACGTGACAGAATTGATGAACCTGTTTTAAAATTAGTTACACAGCTGCACACAGCAGTGGCTTCTTCAGCGGGAATTGAGAGAATTTTCTCTTCCTATGGACTTGTTCATTCAAAACTTAGAAATCGACTTGGACAGGAAAAGGCAGCAAAGCTTGTTAAAGTTTTCAAGCACCTAAACAAACACTACTGAGCGTTGTACATTTCTGAAAATAAGAAATTCTTCAAGCCACTGCTATCAATCCTGTTTTGGTATTTGTACATGCAAATCTTAAAAATGCCATTGCATAAAGAAACATTTAAAAATGCTATATTTTATATTAAATAAAACATTCTGTACATTCCTGAGTCTTACACTGAAGATTTTCTGTTTTTTTTCTTTTTCTATTTTACTAGATCAAGTATTTTATTTCCAAAAAACATGTTTTAAATGTTTTAAAACATTTGTTTTAAAAAAATGTTTTAAATCAAATGCCTATGTTTTAAAACCTGTTTTCATAAATGTTTTAAAACATTTTTTTTAAATCATGCCAAACCTGGGTGTTATATTCGTGGGTTTTTTTTATCTGATTATAAGTTTTAAGTAAAAGCCTGTTATTTTTTGATTCTTTGGACTTTGCAAGCCTTTTGCATTTTTATCATACTTGTCCCATGCTTGTCACACATGCCCCAAGATTGTGGCATACTGTGATAAGTCATACACTTGTGGAAAATAATAAATTACTCGAAACTATTTAAAGCATGCTTAAATGTTTTATGCTTATATAATGAGGGAAACAACAATGTATACAATTCATATGATTGTATTTTAGAAGTCCATGCAGTATACACATTATATAGTAAAAACTGTCATAACTAGACACGACCACCCCTACTAATTCTCATAGTAAATCTTGTGTACTTTATACATATTAAGTATTAAATATGAAGTAATATATACCAATAGAAGTATTAAGCAATATATACTGATATAAAATGGAGTACTGCAAATTTTGCAAAAACTTGAAGAGCGCAACAAACCTTTATGAATATCTTCGGAACACGTAGAACACTATCTTTATGCACCGCATTTTTTCCCTTTTCGAAGTAGACTAAACTGTTGTATTCTAGCATATGGTATAGCAGAAATTACAAATAAATACAGAGAAATATTGTGTGATTGCTTTTGTATATAAAATATTTGGAACATTTTATATATCAAATTATTTTTCTGTTATTTTATAAATCGAGCATTTATTAATAAACCTAGAAATTTGGAACATATTAATAAGATATAATATTGATAACTCTATATTATCTATTGAGATTTCAGTATTTGTTCATTTAAAATTTAATGTGAAAAAATTGATGTTAAAAGTGACTGTCTACCATAATTTATGGGAGTAACTTTTAGGAAAATTTGGAAATGAATTAAAGAATATATATATATACAGTATTGTATCTAACGGTTTCTTAGGGCTTTTTTAAAATACCCAAAACAATCTATCCTTAAAACATTACAAGGAAACTTAATTGATCAACAATATAATTAATATTATTACCATTATAAAGGTTCTAACAGCGACATTTGCATATATTCCACATTCATAATCTCCCTTTTTGACTGCAGATGCCATTTCTTGAAAATTTTTCGGTATTGACTGTTCTTCAGAAGCAGTAAGGAAGGACACCAAACATCCGCCATAGCTGGATAATAATACTAAAACTGCTAATAACCAACTTCCAATCGTTAATCGAAGTGAATAATGATTAACTTGGTTTAAAATATTACTTTCTGCAATGCGTAACGACAAGGAATTACTTCTCAATGTCAGTTATTTAATATCTTAAGTAAGTAAACTTACCTTGATTACTCAACGTGGAAAACAGAAACCAAAATATTTTTCTGAACGATAATCCATAGGCTTTTCCCATTATTTTATAATTGGCGCGGATCATAAAATACAATGCAAATCCAAAAGTGATAAAAGATGCAAAGATTAACAGCCAAATCTTTAAGATAAATTTTCAGATTCATTTTATTGTTATTAAATTTTAGATCAATTTTACAAATATTCATTTACCTGAATGGAAAACGGTCGGAAGAGTGCGTTCCAAGTAAGTTTCGTTTCTGGAACCATTAAGAGAAAAGTGTTTGGGTGTATGGACACAGTTGTAGAAAAGTCGGATACCTGAGTTCGATCGTAAGTAAGAAATATATGCCTGAAAAGGATGTCCGCTTCCTATAAAGAAAATGTGCGCCGAAGATTTAAAAATTGATTTAAAAGTAAATTATTTCGAAAAATTTGATATACATCAGAAGTAACATAACAATTTTATGCTTCTTGGTATTTATAATGTAAATATAGACCATCCTTACAAATATAATTATATACGTAGTTATACCCATTGTACTACAAATTTAAATTGTAGGAGCCGATTAAATAATTTAACGATAGACGTATAACGTAACTGATTTTTCAGTTTATTTACCGAATTAACAACTTGTCCAAAACATCCGGTATATTCGCCAAGTTCGTTTCTTCCTATCACTTTATCTTGTATCGGCTTGCTTACTTCATAACTAGAAATAAATACTTTAGAAATACTTTGATTATTCAGTATAGTCCGTACTAATAATAGATTATGTTAATAAGTTTATCTTTTACAATTATCGTATTTGCAAAATGGTGAATAATATATTGCCGACCATTATAATTATTATTCTGCATTACACAAAAAATTCAAATATACCGAGTTGTCTGTAAGTCGTTTTATCATTTAAACCTTTAATAAATTTTGTTTGTTAATTTATTATATTTATTTTTGATGTATTAAAGTACAGAAAGTGGAAATTTTAAAATTACTTATGATTTTCTTATGATTATGATTCTTATTACTTATGATTTGAAAATTGACATTCTGAGTGAACCCTTTCTGTTGCATACTCCGTAACGGCACCTCGAGATATTTGCACTCGAATTTCTTTCTTAATATTATCTTTAATCTGCTGGATTGTCCGGGAACTAATTTATGCTCGTTAGTTCGCTTGATCTCAAAGAAAAAATTTTGGTTTCGTGTAAGATTCGTATCGTACGTGTAGAGTGTTTCTAAACTATAGAACATACACACGTACGTTCTATAGTTTAGAAAGACTGTGCGATGATTTCGAAAATAAAAGACAAGGTTATTTTTATTCATCTTTCGTCAATTGCAACAAGATAACTTTCTGGCAAACACGCTTTCAAAGCAGGAAAAAAAAAGTTATTAAACTTGTAAACTGTAAAGCAACATATACGCACCGTGTATAGATATATTTCCGTTTTTTTTCTTTTTATATTAATATAGTAGTTTTAATGTGTTTCTACTATGTTATTTCGAATTAAAATATAAATTTTAAAACAACTCGATTAATTTTCATTACATAAATTTATAGATCTATGATAATTGTAATTAAGTATACCGTATTTCTGGAAACATAATTTGTATTTGCTTGAATATTTTATATAATAAATAATTCCCGAATTTTGAGAATGAAAAACAAAATCAAAATCAAAATTTTAATTGCTGCTAAAAAATTTCACAAACTGAATGACAAATTAGGAGAATTTTTTTTCAGATTTAAACTAAGTAAAAGCCACAATGATGAGAGAAAGTTAGAAACAATACAAAGTATATGAATTTACACGTTCGAATTTTATTCGCATAACATAAACTGGATGTTGGAAAAATAACGCACCCCGGAGCGCCTGACGAAGTGAGAATGCAGCCCAACAAGCACGATATGCAGTATACTGTCTATTGTTATGTTATTATGCGCAATTATGGGAAAATGTAACGTAAAATGTAGGAATAACAACATTTGTACCACATACGTACTGTACAGTACAATACTGATTAAGCAATAACTAGTAAGTTGTTTTAAATCAAAAATATTTTAATCGTAAATAAAATTACATGTTAATTTCATGTTTCTTTTATGAAATGGAGAAAAGGAAAGTGCTCTCGTAAACTCCAAGAAAAACGAAAGTATCGATAAGGACATTTTATCTATTTCATGAGGTATTCTAAATGGACGTCACTGGCTATCTGGCAGTATGCAAGGCCACTCATTAAATCTTTATTAATCCTCCTAAGTTGGTCAGCCAATTATGTATTATCGTAAATCTTCAACTGCTGTTCGACAAACCTCTACCTTTATCCCCAATAAAAAAATTTAATGGCGTCAAATCAGGAGAGCGAGGAGGCTATGGTTAAGGACTTCCTTGACCATTCCACATTCGTGGAAAAGTAGTATATAACTGCTAAAAGGTGAACATGAATGAGTGGGGCTCCATTAAGTTGATAAAAATGGAGTAATGAAAAGCTACATCTGCGAGTAGTGATCGAGAAGTTCTATAAAAACTGCAAATGCTTTCAAGAGTTAAAGATACCGCCAATAAAAATGGCCCAAGAACTGGTCGGTCAAGTAATTATTCGGTTAAAACTACCGATGTTACGTGTTCTTTACTTGCAAGCAATGCAGATTTTCCTGCACCCAGTTTTATGAAGTTTACATTGCCACAATCAAAAGAGGACATTTCATCCGTGAAGCAAATTTCCCTGGTAAGAGTAGGGTCCTGTTGCCGAACACCACAAACATTTCTGCAAAGTTTATCCTTGCCTTATAGTCTAGTCTTCAGAAATAAGATCTTTGACGATGACGTTGCGACTTGTACGGATGATAACAGAACTTCATGAGAATCGTAAGAATAAAGGTTGACACAATTCCTGCTTCTAGAGTCATAATGGAAATAGTTGGGTTTATTGTGAATATACCTATGATGTCGTAGCTACATCATCTGTCATACAACTCCTGAACGTCCAGGTCTTAGGACATCATCTGTGTCATTCGTGCGTCGAAATTTAGCTACCATTCTTAAGGTTGTAGTATTTTGATAATAGAATAGATTGATATGCAATCTATGGAATTGCGCTGCAACATTCCTTGTGCTACATTCCAGAAGGTGTATTTTTAACATTACGATTGTCTCTGCCTTTGTAACTTATATCTCATTCTGTCACACAATGCACTACGCATACTGACTTTAAATACCAGTTTGGAGTAAAATTATACTACCGTCGTAGACACATTAATTTATATCACGAAGGATGTTTGCAATATACTGTACACTAATAAAGATTCACTGTACTGTACAGTACAGTGAATTTGTATTAGTAATTATCGAAAATCGACATGAGGAATTTCATCAACAATTCTTGATAGCACATTGTAACCTGCAAAATCTGCAACAATCTGCAAACCTATCACAGACAGAATATACTGTACACAGACAGAAAATACTGTACAGTCAGGTTAATGGCATCAGGTACAGTACCAGTTCATTCTATGATCGCCTGACGACATTAAGAATGCCGTTCAGCAAAGCAGCGGCGTCTTCAGTGTTTTATAAAACGAAATTCTTACTTTGTCAGGCGTTCCTACGGTGTATTATTTTCCTAGAATGAGATAGATTACACTACTTAGTTTTATCGTATAACTTCGGCCACATGTAACATATATTAATATATCCAAAATATTGTATAATTACTGTTATGAAATCGTTAGACTTATTTTATCATCATTACGATCTGGTAAAATGATATCAAGTATTTACTAATAGCCTATATCATTCAGATAGTTAATATTTGAATATATACAGTAGATCCCCCTATAAGACGGTAGGTATGTTCTGTTCTTTATGAATCAATTTTGTAGGAATCATAGTTTACGGACTACGGCTGTTTGAAAGGTTTTCTTTCATAAAATTAATCGATTCTAGACTAATTCGACTCAACATTTCCAAAATACGTATATTTTTTTGAAAATAATCCGTATAAACTACGTTATAAACAAAAAATTGTAGGATTGCTTACCGAGTGTGTACCGTTCGACTACGCCCGTTGCTAAAGCTTGGTTTCGTCGCGGAACAGCGCATCAAACCGCGGCCGCGATTTCTGATATTATTTTTCTGCGAAAACTTCGTTGACCTTTGGAGACATCCTTAATATAAATAATTTTTATGGCCGTTAAATAAGAAATGTTTCTTTCACAAGAAATGTATAAAATTACAGTACTGGACAGACGATAGGTCGCCTAACTCGCCGTAGCGTGACGCTAGACGGCGAAAAATATATATTTAATTATAATAAAGTTACAATAAATTAAGTTAATATATAATTATATATACAGTACCTAATTTATATATAATTAATATATAATTATATGTACAGTACCTAATTTATATATAATTATATGAACAGACGATACTAAACTCAATTTATCCGCCTAAACGTCCGTAGCGTGGCGCTACGGACGGCGGGAAAGTAGTTCGGCTGCCCGATGACGTTTTACCTATTATAGGAGTTATTTTTACCGTTGTTTACGGATACTGCCACAATTTTTATAGGAATCATAACTATAGGAAACGGTTTTATAGGGGGATCTACTGTACATATATACAATGTATATATATATGTATAGAAACATGTATAGACATTTAAATTGAGAAAGACGTATGTCAGACATATTATTCAATACTCGTTTCACGAAACTCTTTCTTCTTGAGAATAATTTTTTTATATACAGTATATAACATTTTTTGTTTCTTTGTGTTGTCATGAAAATTAAATTTATTAAATTTATGCACTTGTAAAATTATCGTGGAAAAATTTATAATTAATACAATCTGAAGATTTTTTGATAGGAAATTTTTGCTTCATGTTAAAACTGCCATCATTCGTTACTATCTCTTACTACCGAAAATAGAGCAAATACAAATTTCGTAAATTTGACAAATTAATATCCTGGTTCCAATCTACTTTTACATCTAAGAAGAGGCATGATTTATTGAAAAACCATTAACAAACAATGACAGAAAAACTATTCGGTAACAGTTTCAACTTTTAAAACGTCTTATCAACTATTAGCATAAAGCACTTTCGAAACAAATACCAGTAACAATATAAAAAGTATTAATCGAACTTGAAATTAACTATGCTAGCCGCTTATGAGATTAACGCCGCAAGAGATTCATCTATCTATTAGATAATATGAAATAATAAAATTTAATCGTAAATTTTTTGGATTTTTTTCAAATAAAAATGTTTAGATTAGAAATACAATCTCTCAAAACCGTAGAACTTCGTACGCTGTATTTAAACTCGTGTTTTGTAATAGTAATAATCTATAAATTATTACTGCAATTTGCGGATGATAACAGAACTTCATGAGAATCGTAAGAATAAAGGTTGACACAATTCCTGCTTCTAGAGTCATAATGGAAATAGTTGGGTTTATTGTGAATATACCTATGATGTCGTAGCTACATCATCTGTCATACAACTCCTGAACGTCCAGGTCTTAGGACATCATCTGTGTCATTCGTGCGTCGAAATTTAGCTACCATTCTTAAGGTTGTAGTATTTTGATAATAGAATAGATTGATATGCAATCTATGGAATTGCGCTGCAACATTCCTTGTGCTACATTCCAGAAGGTGTATTTTTAACATTACGATTGTCTCTGCCTTTGTAACTTATATC